AAGCGGTCAAAATATATAAGATAAGGACACAATTAAAGCAACCGTCTTAGAATTTTCTAGAGCCTTATAATTTTCACTAGAGCGCCTTACCAATTTTCCAGTGGAGCCTAAAATTTTCAAGAAAGCGCCTCAAATTACTAACATGATCGATAGCACTACTTAACCATCTCTCTTCGCTCCACAAAAAAAAACCATCTCTCTTCACCTCTTAAAACCACTCCGCCACTTCTCTTCAATAGAGCGATTGATTTCAGGGATCTCATTCAAAAGGTAGTTCGTAATTGAAGCTTGTAGAATAAATAATTTGGGCTGTTTTTGGTAGTTCGTAATTGATGCTTGTAAAAGAAATAATCTGGGCTGTTATTGGAATTTGTAATTGAAGTTTACTTGTGGGTTTGTAATCGGGTAGATCTTTTGTCTTAGGGAAATTTAGATCTCGTTGGTTTTTGTTTATTTGATTGTAGATGATTACTGAAATTGATTGTCAGAATTGATCTAAATGTTGTAAGCTTTCATTTGGTAGAATCTGAGATTGATTAAGGTCTGTTTTTCATGTGTTTATAGTGTACATATGGAAGAGCCACACGTACAAGCTTACCCATGCTGCATCCTTCTCGGAGAAACGGAGCTTATTGGTAACTCATTGATTGTTTTACAGATTGGTTTTTTTCACAGATATGATAGTAACTCATTGATTGATCCGAAACTAAATGGTAACTCATTGATTGTCGTTGGTCGTGACATATTGATTTCCTAAATACCATTGATTTTAATTGGTTATATTGATTTATTTCCTAAATGGTAAACTCATTTAGCATCGGAGAATCGCACAATCTTATAGTGTACATATTGATTTTTTTCCTAAATATCATTGAATTATTTCACAGATTTATAACTCATTGATTGTTTTATTTCAATGGAATAGGTTTAAGCACCACACTGAAGTATCAACTGGTGTGAGAAAGGTCATTGAAAGTTGTTTCAAAAGACCATGGATCTCTTGGAAAAAAGTGTCACCTTACTATAAACAAACATGGTTCTCTCTGTTTAAGGTATTCTTTCTGTTATATTTCATCTAAGTATCTAAATAACTATTTCATATATTACTAATGATGTCTCTTATGCTCTGTTTTTCAGAAAAGATTCAACTGGGATGCTTCTATCAATTCTCAAGTTGAAGTAGAGTTTAACAAACTTGCTGCTTATCGACTTAAAGGAAAGCAATGCAAAAAAAAAAAAAAAACCAGACTGGATTTTGTCTGACGAATGGAAAATTATGGAAGCGTATTGGGCAACACCAAAAGCCAAAAAATAGCGATAAGGCTCGTGCTTCTCGAATGTCTGATCGCAATGGTTTAGGCGTATATTCTCATGTAGCTGCACTACAAGAAAACACAGTTTTAGCGTCGGCAAAATTCGATGCTAAATCGATGCTAAAGTCCTTTAGCATCGATTTAGCGTCGAATCACAATTCGACGCTAATCTGTCGACGCTAAACAGGTTTCGACGCTAAATTAGCGTCGAATTATATTCGACGCTAATTCGATGGGACAAATCGATGCTAATTCGACGCTAATTTAGCGTCGAATTAGCATCGACAGAAGACGGATCCGATGCTAAATCGACAGAAGACGGATCCGATGCTAAATCGACACTACTTTAGCATTGGAAAAATCGACGCTAAAACGATGCTATATTCCGATGCTAATTCGACGCTAAATTAGCATCGACTTAGCATCGAATCCGTCGTTTATCGATGCTAAATCGACACTAATTTAGCGTCGATTTAGCATCAAATAAGTCATTGGTCGATGCTAAATCGACGCTAATATAGCGTCGAATTAGCATCGAATTATTAATTTAAAAAAAAAAATTTTTGTAAATGAAATTATTTTTTATAAATTTCAAAATTTTTAAAAAAATAGAAAATTTTATATTTAAATGTGAAAATAAAAACAGAAATTGTTTAAAAACACTGAAAATACAAACAGAAATTACAATTTTAAGGTTCGTCTCTTAAATTAATGTTGTCTCTATATTCATTCACCATTGCTTCGGCTTCGTCGTCGAACTGCGGTTGAGCTGTAGCTGGAGGTGGCTATGCAGG